ACTTCCATACATATTTCCTTCAGGGTTCTTTCAGTCTCTATTAATAATTTAGAGTTTAGCATTGGTGGGGTTGGCGGGGGGTTGTTTTATTGTATCGGTGTTTATATAAGCCGGCGTGGCTCGAAATTTCCACCAGTCTCTCTACTTTGTTGTTGTTTTCGAGCAGTGAATCCTCTTTGCACATTCCCCTTTCCTCCACTCCAAAGCACAGACCTGAGAGTTGCTTAGAGGTAAAGTGTTGTGATATCATACCATTTCTGACACTCCCAAAGCGTGACGTAAAAGCTAGGTGTTAACTAGGGTAGGGTGGCACTTGGTTTCCACTATGGAGATAGTCAATAGTACGGTGCCCGAGCAAAATCCAATAGCAACGAGGCAAATTATGATATCCAGGCACCACAGCACCTAAGTACAGGCACCTGTTTGCTCTCATACCCGATTTTATCCAGATACCTTTGGAACCCTACAAGGAGATCATACGAATATTCCCCTGTCTTCCACGTTCTGAGTGAAGGCACGGTTGAGAAGCTATCCACACTTAGTAGTTTTTCTCACCAAGGAAAATTAATACACAAAGGAGCCCTCCAATTCCGGGACAAACTCCCATTCCAAAGGTACCGGTATCCTACCCCAACTTTCCAAGAGCATTATAATCGAACAGCCCGCTGCGCCGCAATATCGGCCCACGAGCGAGTCCAACGGGGTATTCCACCCTCCCCCATTCTCCTTCCGCCCACTGCAACTCTCTCCTTTGAGCATTCTGCCCGATGCCTAGGTCGGCCCTCACGAACCCGTATAATTTCTAGCAGTCATTGAAGGATGACAGGATATTGTAGACGACTCTAAATGTGACAGGGGTCCGTTGGATCACCTGGAAGTGATCTACAGAGAAGCTTCTCGAGACATGACTCCCTTTTATATCACGGGAGCGGGTGGAGGATTGGGCACCTAGTCCATCCGCGGAAGAGAATGAAATGTGTGGTCTCTGGAGGGATCGGAGCGCTTTGATTCCGTTCTGCGGATACTCCTGTCTTTACCGTTAGTTCAGAGGGGGCCAATTACGTTCCCTGCCATGCCATACATCAGGCAAAGAATTCAAGGAGGGGATATGGTGAGATATGAGGAGTATCGAGCGCAGGTGGGTGCCGCTGCTGAGAAGCTACGATACCGGTATTCTTGTCCGCAATGCACGGGGCCAACCGTACATGTACAACCTAACTTGGGATATCACCCCCTCTTCCATAAGCCATGTGTAACCTCTCTCCCCTCCTTGCCTCCCCATTGAGATCTGAAGTGCGTTTTTTCTTCTATATGACCCTGATGGCACCCACCCAGATTGTGGGAGGTACGGTCGTCGGACTGTATTGTATTGGATCATGTCTTGCCATTATACCTAACCTTACTCGTGCTTCTCAGCCAATATTTGGCACCCCATTAGTCCTGGCTCGTGGCACCCGTTCTGCCGAAGGGGGCTGTTCACCATTATTGGCGGCGCGGAATGGGTGTAGAGGCCTAACTATTGGGGGAATGGTTGGTGAATGGAGTTTCCACAAATTTAGGCCCTCATACTCGCTCCAATCTACTACTCGAGTACAGTATTATAGCAGACTATGCCCTTTCAGCAGGGAACAAGTTGCGCCACCCGCCGAGACAAATGGGGTGCCAAATCTTGGCTGAGACGGACGAGCACTGTACAATTCAAGCCCTACTCGAACTGTTGAAACAGATAAACGGAGACGTATTTGTTCCTATTTCTCTAGAGAAAGAAAAGAATTGAGGAGAAAGGAAAGAAAGGAAAAGGCAACGCATAGAAGTAGACCAGCAAACAGGAGGGTGACGTAAGTAGTCACAGAGCCTCACTCGAAACCGCAGTACGGTAGTAGCGTAGACATGGTTTCTAACAGACATGGTTTCTAACACGAACGGTGGACAGTCGAACTCGAGTGATATAATATGACTAGTAAATTACAGACACAACGATGCCGTTTTCCCCACACAAACAATATATCCGTGCCATACTGTTACAACCAACACGCTGCCCACCACAAAGTGCAGGGAGACCTGCGCCCCTGCAAACGGGTCCAAAAATGAAAAGAAAACCGGGATGTCCGCCCCACACCATCTCTATCTCCATCTGCATCTGCATCTCTTCCAGACTTTTCCACCCGACTGCCTGCCCGCCAAACCGACAAGCCAGCAACACCAGCTATAGTACAAGTAGATTAGGTTGCTGAAAAAAAAAAAAAAAGATCGAACACAGTGATGAAACGGAACACTGTGCTGCACTTGAGATCAACCAAGAACCCGGGACAAAGATAATTTTCAAAAATTTCCAACCAAAACCACATCCACGGAAAGATAAGGCTTGATAGAGGGTGCTCTGAAGATAGCCCCCCTCCAACAAACCCCATGTCTTCCGATTCCCAACCGGAGCAAGGTTGACGGAGACGGGCAAATCTAGAATTACCCGTGTGTGGCCGATTCCTTCCTTGCCTTAGCCAAGCCTCAATATTTTTTGTAAATACTGAATTTACGTAAGCAGATTGGATTGTTTAACGAGTGTTGAATTCAAGTGCCCGGCACCCCCCATAGTACAGTACCGGTATCACACCGGTGCTCGGGTACTCGAGTATCATGCTGGAGGATTTTCCTTATACGAGGGACGTCAATTTGGCTTCACGAGTTATGAACTGTTTTCAATTGTGAGATTTTTCAATTGTGAGATGATTGACAGTGGTATTACCGTTATATTTGTGCTTGGAAAGGGGGTGATTTCCTTTTGTAACTATTGTAGGGTTTTGTAGACCACGCTTTAGGGCGCTTGCCATAGTTTTTCCCGTATCATAGCTCAGGTTGCAAATGAAGTCTTGAAGTATGAATACTCGAGTATCATGCGGCGAACCTACATATGTTTGCGGAACCCTGGTTGGGGGTTTTAGTCCGCGCTCGAGTACAGTTCAGTACCGTTCTGTGGGTTAGATTGATTTGGATTATGGTATCATATCATAATTCGCTGGGTTTGGGAGGGTTGGATGGGAAAAAAATAAAAAAATGAAAAGAGAAAGAGAGGGCTAGGGGGTTTACTTGTGCGGAGACTCCCTTCGTATATAATTATCATAATAATATTATTACTTGTTAATATAGAGCGGAAAAAATTGTATGGGACAGTAGAGTCCCCAAGTGATTTGTTTCGCGGCAACAGTCTTTCCGCCATCAAGGTCCACCACCGTACCGTATCTCCTCGACTGCCGTATCATACTCGTAGCGAACTGCGGTAGCCCTACGGTAGTGGAAAACGTAGTGCAGCCCCTGTGAAGGTCTGGAAGAAATGACTAAAGGCACTCCTTCGGTATTCCCTGCTCGTACTCGAGTACTCATAGCGATGATCAGGGTTGGAAGGATAGCTCACAGTCTACAAGTATCTAATATTAGCTATGGTCTGAGGTTTACGCAGCTGCGGATTTGTAGTAATTGACAAAAGTTGCTTATTAACCTATGTCTCAGATACCGACAGGGGCAGTGGGACAGCGAGGTTGGACCGTATCATCCCTTGTCCACACATGCATCCCACCATTCATCGACCAAGAGTTTCACCGGCCTGGAACACCACTCGACCCAATTCCACTCTCACTTTACCGGTACGAGTACTGTGCCGTGGCTTTACCCCGGATTTATCCTGTCTCGCTAAAAGGGTTTGCGATCATAGCGGCGAGAGTTGGCGACGAGGGTCTGGTGGATCCTTCTTGACCTCGAATCGTGCTCTTCAAGTTGCTCGTACTGTGTGGGCACCTCGGCGGGGGGAAGGGCTGGTGATTGCTGTTCCTGGGAGGGCACTGTGCTCGCCCGCTTCTTCGTTCCCTCTCCTGTAGTCCAGCCTGCCTATCATTAAACTACGATACTCTTTCTCCACCTTCTTCTTCCTCTTTCTTGGGTTGGATTACCGGTACCGTTATCCTGTGCTGCTCGAGTATTATAGGTAAGATGCTTATTTCTTGGCGCTGCGTTCATGGCGAGGCTGGGTCCTACTGTAACTTGATGGGAGCTTTTCTATGCACACCCTAAGCCTTCCCTCATAGGTTCCTGCTCTTTTCTCACTCACACACCTCTTTTTTTTTTCCCGCCATTTCTCTCTCACTCACTCTCTCCCACCCTTACACACATACGCCCTTTCTCCCTTTCTCTCTCTTCGCGAGTGGAAGGAAAGGAATGGGAAAGAGAAACACGAGTGATCCGGCCATTAGTTACCACTTCTGACTGGCTGCTTGACTGCTTGCTTACTCGCCGGCCGGTTGGCGAACTAACAGCGGTCGGTCGTGTATCCATCCAACAAACTTATCCTAACCGCACCACGAAAGCCCACACCCACCATCGACCCGCCCGCTCCATCGCCCTAATCAACTTAACCTAACTTCGCTCGCACCCACACCCAACTCAACTCAACTCAACTCACCTCATCTCACTCACTCACACTGCTGCACCACAGCACCACCCCCCCCCCCCCCTCCCTCCTCCTCCTCCTTCGCTGCTGTCGTCCGTTGTTCCGTTTTGATAGAGGTTCGAGTTTGCCGAGCCTCTCCTATTCTTTTTATTCTCTCCTTCTTTCTCTATCTACACTTCTGCCCGCTTACATACTGTTACTAGAGTTCGGTAGGGTAGCGTGCAAGCACGGGTACGATAGCTTTGCCGGGGTTAGCATAGCAAAGCGTAGCGTAAGGGCAGGGGAAACAGGCTAAACGGAAAACTCGGTAAAGGGACGAAGGAAGGATTGAATTACCACCCCCCGTCACCACCACTGCTACTACCCTCGATCGACTAATCCTGTACCCCCTCACCTCAGGGGCTACCCGAGGGAGCTCGACCTCCCCGTCCTTCTGCTTTGCCCGGCTGCTGCTGCAAAGGACAACCTTCTCCATCTAGCCTCGCAGCAGTGAGCGTAAACGTGCTGAATGAGCCGCCGTCGAACGTGACCCGGTAGATTCACCACCAACACCACGACCACTATGAATCGGCAACAAAGATCGGCCCTCGCCGCCCCCACCACTGCATCAGCAGCAACAATGATGATGGTTTTCGTCCTCTACGCCCTTCTGTCTGGAGCGGGCCTGGCCCTTGCCCATCAACACCGGCAATACCACCAGCAGCAGCGAATCCTCACCCGAGATCCGGACTCGCCCCATCTAGCTGTGGGAATAAACGATAGTGGTCGGAACTACAACCGCGGGACTGACGTTAGTTCCACCGTTCGAGCTCTCGCTACCGTTTCCGCGGGATCGGTTCCTTCCTCGTCTCAGGATCGTAAGGACATCTACCAGGACGACAGGCGAGGGAGGAGTTTGGGTGCGACTGTTGGAAGGGGAGGGGGAGGGATGTCTGCGATTGGAGGTCACAGAAGTCTGAACGATTGGGAAGTGGAGGATTTTGTCCTGCTGGCTACGGTGGATGGGACGCTACATGCTAGGGATCGGAAGAGCGGTGCTAGGCGGTGGGAGATTTTCGCCCATGATCCGGTGGTTCAGACGGTCTACCATCGCGCGAATGGCAGCGCGGCGAACACGGAGCGGGATTGGATTCAGGATGATGACGTGGTTTGGATCGTTGAGCCGATCCAGGATGGGGCTTTGTTCTTTTTTACGCCGGATAATGGGTTGCAGGTATGTGCCCTCCTGCCGACCCATTGATTGATTGGAGTGTGGAGTTCAGGGAACTGACTGTGTGTGGGGGAGAGACAGAAGCTTGACGTCACAGTCAAGGGCATTGTAGACGACTTATCGCCGTTCACGCCAAAGGGTAGCGATCGTTCTTACAATGGTGAGAAGAAGACAACAACTTTTGCGATTGATGCTCGCACCGGCAATGTTCAGAGGGTCTTCTCATCTGCTGGCATAGCTAGCCCGGTCAACAATGATAAGTGTAAGCCGAATAATGGACTTGAAGAGGATCTCGACGACGACGAGTGCGAATCTGTTCCCAAGACTATTTTAATTGGAAGGACTGGTATGACTCTCAATTGGGAATAGGGGAAACGACGGCTACTGATTTATCTTTGATGGCCGACAGAGTATACTGTTACCATCAATAGTCTGTCCACCGGTGAGCGGCTTTGGACCATCAAGTATGCTGAGTGGGGGCCCAATAATGGGGATAAGGATCTTGCCGTGCAGTATGAAAGATCCATGGATAATAGGTATATCTATACTGGTCATGATGGCAAGATTTATGGGTTTGAAGGGGATGTAGCTGGTATGTTTTATATGCCCCATCCGGGTGGATGTCTCTTGGCTAGTCCGATCATTGACAATCTGCACATCAGGCCCTGACAGCGAGCGTCGCCCAAAATACCAGCAATCCTTTTCTTCTCCCGTTATCAGAGTCTTCGACGTTGTCAAGTCCATAACTTCCCCCACGGAATCCAAAACCGTCACATCTGTTGTTCTCCCTCAGCCAATTCTCGCATCAAGGGAATTGGACCGGCACGAAGGATTGACATTTGTGGGCTGTACCGAGAACGACAGTTTCTACGCTCTATCGGAAACAAGCTACCCGTACGTTACTGATGGAGCCCCAGACGCAACGTTCTACGCCGGCGGGCGCCTAAAATGGCAAACGTCCACCCGTGACGAACGCCACAAGACAATAATGGGCATGCACCACGCGCACTACGGATTTGATGAGCCCTATCGCGCATCCCTACCCGCTCCTACGCCGATCTCACGCGAAGAACGGCCAGCCGTTAGATCCAGGAACACCGTCCCACCATTGCCGTCCTCGCCCTCCTTGAAGAGTAGCCGCTTGATCAACTTTGCTATAGAGAACCTCGTGGATATAAGCATTCTCGTTCCCATACTTACTGCTTTGATTTGGCTGTTTATGAAGCAGATGGGTGGAAGCAAGGCTGGAAATGGGACACCGGAGAATGTGAGCAATGCAACTATGGCCGGTCATGCGGGGGAGCTTGTGCGGCTTGTTAGAGCTGGGGCGGCTTCTGAGCGTGTACCGAATGGTGTGCCAGTTCTGGATGAGCCGCCGGACGGGGTGGTTGTCATGGGGGAGCAGTTACAGAAACAACCTGGGCCCACTGCACAGCAGCAGCAGGTGGAGGAAGCGGTGGCCGTGGCTATAGAGGTGGCAGCGCCGAGGGGGGAGATACAACAGCCGGCTGTGGTGCCGGACGCAGCGGCGGGAGCAGTGAGATTTGAGGACGGTGCGGTAATGGTTGAGGAGGATGTTCCGGTGCCACCAGCTCCTACTCCTAAGAAAAAGAAGCATAGAGGCCAGAGGGGAGGTGCTAGGAAACGGGGAAAGGCAAATGCGGAGAAGGAGAAGGAGAAGGAGAAAATGGAGGTTGCGGGTAGTGAGGTGAAGGAGATTGTCAGGGAGAACCCGATGCAGCTTGATCTCAACACACTAGCTATAGATCCTTTAGGGGAAGAGTGGGATCCGTCATCATTAGTTGCGATAAATAACTTGATGGTTCATGAAGATAAAGTATTAGGTGAGTCTATTGGATGTAGTCGCGATTTCGATTCCCTTCAACTCACAATCTTCAAGGCGTTGGCAGTCAAGGAACAATAGTATACAGAGGCTCGTTCGAGGGAAAAGTAGTAGCTGTCAAGCGGATGCTGCGAGATTTTATCGACGTGGCGGAGCACGAAGTCTCACTATTGCAGCAAAGCGACGACCACCCCAACGTCATCCGCTACTACTGCACCCAGCACGGGTCCCGCTTTTTATACATTGCACTAGAGCTCTGCCCGGCGTCACTATTTGACGTATTCTCCGATCCAATAAGCCACTCCGACCTCCTGGGGCTCATGGACCCCATAGACGTCCTCCGCCAGATCGCCTCAGGAGTACGTCACCTCCACTCTTTAAAAATCGTGCACAGGGATTTGAAACCCCACAATATCCTCGTTAGCCACCCCAAGCCGCTCCCTCACGACTCCTCAACGAAGCGGCCGAGGGTCCTTATATCAGACTTTGGCCTGTGCAAGAAATTAGAAGGCGACAAGAGCTCCTTCGGCGCCACAACAGCTCATGCAGCGGGCACGTCGGGCTGGCGCGCACCGGAACTCCTCGTCGACGAAGACTCCGCTTCGAAACCTATCTCCCCCTCACAACCCCCTCCCCAACCGCCAACGGCCGAAGCCTCCACCTCAAACTCATCCTCCGAAACCGCTGTAATTGACACGTTAACCAACCGCCGTGCCACCCGCGCAATAGACGTCTTCTCGCTAGGGTGCGTGTTTTACTACATCCTCTCTCGCGGCGAGCACCCCTTTGGCACACGTTGGCACCGAGAGTTCAACATCATAAACAACAGCCCCGACCTCTCCCACCTCGCCCCGCTGGGACTAGCAGAGTACGAAGCTAGGGACTTAATCTCTAGTATGATAAGCCATAACCCGCGAAAACGTCCAGACGCCACGAAAGTTCTTATTCATCCGTTCTTTTGGTCACCAGAGAAGCAATTGACCTTCCTGCTAGACGTGAGTGATAGGTTTGAGGCTGAGAAGGACAAGGAGAAAGTTACCGGCCCCGAAGGTGGGTATAAGTCCCCGTTCATACCAATGCTGGAGCGAAATGCCCGGGAAGTTTGCGGTGGCGGTGACGGGGACTGGACGAAGAGGCTTGATAGGCTATTCCTCGCAGAGCTAGTGAGCAACAAGCGAAGAGGGTACGATGGCGAGAAGGTGCTGGATTTGTTGAGGGCTATACGAAACAAGGTATATTCTGTCTTCTCCCACGTGGACTGATGGAAGATAATGGTGCTAACTAACGAGTAACAGAAGCATCACTACCAAGATATGAAACAGACCGTAAGGGAAGCCGTCGGCGATCTCCCGGGCGGCTACTTGAGCTACTTCTCCCGACGTTTCCCGGGCCTCCTACTACACACTTGCGAGGTGGTCCGTGACGCAGGCTTCTGGCAAGAGCCGGTTTTCAGAGGGTATTATTCCGTGCAGCGTTAATCCGTCGATTGATTCACCGGTCTTGCTGAGCTGCCGATCGTAGAAGTAGAAGGGGGTTTCTTGCATATACCCTTTTTTTTTTTCTATCTTTTTTAAAATTTCAGATTTTTTTTTTTGCAGGGTTTGATTTGCGCTTAGCTTAGGTTTGGACTTGGTGGGGATGAATATAAAAAACGTTTGGGCTTTGGGATTGCTTGGGTTGGCTTGGGCATGTTTGGGTCACGCGCGTTTTTCTTTTACTCAGCAGCAGTGTGCTTGATAGTTGGCTGCCTTTTACCTCTTGTCTTGATACTCTACCCGAGTAGCTGCTACTGGTGTCTTTCGCTTTTCTTTTTGCCTTCTATTCAAGTTCACGGGGTTGTTTCTCACTTGTGCATGTATATACGCTTTTGGTTAGGCACTTACTTATTTGTTAGCCCTTACCCACTTAACTTACCACATATGGTTCAAGAACAGAAGACTGTGAACCATGTGGCTGTACAAAATGCAACAGTGGCTATGCAGTAACAACAGTGGCTGTGTAACAAAATTGCCAAGCCCACCAATGATAGACAACAAATAAGTATGAATAATGTGAGATATAAAAGAAAGTATATTAATTTCAAGGAAATACTTTGATTATTATACAGTTTGAGAATTTGAGACTCTGTGATGACTGGTATAGGTTCTTGTTACCTTTTCTTTGAATTCAGGAGTACCATAAGCAGTCCCTTCACGATATGCTCCCATCATCCGCTCTGTGCGTGCCCAAAACTTCCAGATTTGGGTTGGTTTTACAGAATTTAAACATTCTGGTACCATTTTGCGCAATGCTCGTATGTTGTATCCACATCTTTGACGAGCATAGTGTTTTGCAGCACCCCAGTAGTACTCAATAAAATTGAGCTCACAGTGGTATTTGGGGAAAAAGTATACCAGATGACCAGTTAAGTTGACTTCTTCTTCCAAATGGCTCTTCTGAGCCTTGAAATCTGGTTCTTGTGCAATCAATACTCTTGCACAATAAGTACCTCCATTGAGGCACTCCTTGTTCTTTTTTCCATCAGGCTTGCAACATTGAACCCTCAGTCCTGATCTCCATAAACCTCTCTCTTGAAGGACTATTTGTAAGCTCTTTGGTATACCATCTGCCATTATCATCTCTTGAATTTCTCCTGTTAAGCTGTTGATACCAGTTCGAAGCGGTGGCTGTAATCCTCTAGAGCATAAATTCATTGAACTGGCTCTTAAGGCATCCTTGGAATAAGCGGAATGACTGGTTGCATTATCAAATAAAAATAAGGCTTGACAGTTTGGAAATAAACTTTTAAAAACTGGAATTGCCAACTTCAAAACCTGGTTAACAAGTTGGTCACCATCCCACCATATATCTCCTCCATATTCAATGGAATAGGCAGCCAGATCAGAACCCAGATGCTTTGGCCCCTTAGGAGAGGTTTCATATTCTGAGACAACCACATTATTGATATTGGTAGGAGTTTGGAGTTGTCCACCTGGTGTAAGGAAATCTGACACCATGATCCCTTTTCCACGAGTTTTCTTCCTCAATTGTATATTATCATCTTTTATCCAGATCTTGGATCGGCCATCATTGGCATTGAAGGTTGATTCATCGTGTACTACCAGTACAATAGGCTTAACTCCCAGAGGTAGATTGCTTGGATATACAATCTGTAGTACCTCACCCTCCTCCGTGTCAACAAGCTCCCAACGTACCATATAGTTCTCTAAATTCTTGAGTGCAGGCAAGAAACAGTCTTGCCTGTATTGGACAACATCACTACGCTCATGACCGTCCTTGTAGACTCCTTTAGTGACATCTTGAAACTTGTAACCCATGTCATGCAACCATTTAACTGCAGTTCGTGAGCTTAAAGTATTCTTCAGCTCACTTCTCTTTGCTGCTAGTTCTGCTAACTGAGCCTTTACTTCTGATGTATATGGTTGTGAGGGGTTCTTCAACTCTGGCTGCGTCTCAAAGGAAAGGATTCCAGTTTACCAGTAGGCTAAAATAGCGTATGCAACACTCTGTCCAGTGACTCTCTCACCAGCTCCAGCAAGATATTCTCGCAGTGCGAGCTGTGTACTCTCATCATCAATCAGGCGGTGTAGCATGACTGATTTGCCCTGCTGAGAAGGTACAATACTGCCTGTTTTGATCCAACTTTTTTCATTTTGAATAATACGGTCGCGCACACATCTTCCCTGACCAGCAGTTGCTACAATCAGTTCTGCCGCTTCCTTTCGGGTTCTTTTCCAGAATGGTTTGACTAATCCATATCGTTGGAATCGCAGAAACTCTAGAACTTGTATGTGGTAAACAAGATCTTGACCATTCAGTTTGTTTTGTTTGGAGTTCAACCACTTTCGCATATTGTGGATCCCTAAGAGCCAGTTTAGCTGTTTATACTTTATAAAGACTTAGATAGTATAATCTAAAATATACATACCTTTCGTGAGAATCTGATACTTAAATTTGACAGTTTGATACTGGGATAAAACTGGCCAACATTGAATTGCTTCAGTCAAATTATCCATCTCATTACTACCATGGTCCACCTGATCCACCTGCTCCTCCTGCTCCTCCTGCTCCTCCTGCTCCTCCTGCTCCTCCTGCTCCTCCTGCTCCTCCTGCTCCTCCTGCTCCTCCTGCTCCTCCTGCTCCTCCTGCTCCTCCTGCTCCTCCTGCTCCTCCTGCTCTGCCTGCTTCTCATAGTCCTCCTGCTCCTCCTGCTCCTCCTGCTCCTCCTGCTCCTCCTGCTCTGCCTGCTTCTCATAGTCCTCCTGCTCTACCTGCTTCTCCTGATTCTTCCAGTCCTCCTGCACTTGCATACTATTTGCAAGTGCAGCTCCTTTTGTAGAATTTCCAGTTGTACTAAGTTTCTGCAAGCTTTGTTGTCTTTCAACTTGCTTTCTCCTTCTCCAAATTGTTTGCCGACATGGAGTTTTGCCTCCTCTTCCTATACGAGATGTAATTTTCTCAACATCTAGTAACTCTTATTATTAGATATTTACCTTTTATCTGAGGTAATAATTTAAATATGATTTGTATGAAACTTTACCTTGGAGTACTGCTGTATTCTCATTTGCTACTTCTTCTTGACTTGCAGCTTTACTAGTACTAGATCCACTTCCATCTTTTGCTTTCTTGGGCCTACCACCTAGGTAACCTGCTCTCTGGCTTTGTCGCTTTCGCTTATTGATTCTGACCATTATAAAAATAACTTAGGTTTTTCTGCATATTGTTTTTCGAATAACATTTGAATTATTATACCATCGATATCCTTTATACTTTCACTATCACAAGATTAGTCATCATAGTATGTTGCATTTCAATGCCAAGACCATGAATTCTACACCCAAATCTATGACTTTTCAATCGTGTTTATCATCACTTCTACTTGATTGTATGAAATAAAAAAACCGTACTTTTATTCTACTTCACTTGATTTGTACTTCTACGGTTTTTTTACATCATCTTAGCCAGTATTTGGTAGGTTATACTGCTCTAAAACTACAGCTAAATGAGGTACACACTTATTCGTACTTGCACTATAGTACAAACATACGCCGCCGTATCTCTGGACGTGATTTTTGAGCAGAGCGTCAGTGCTTCCCAAACGCCGCCGCAGATTTAAGGGGTACCACTCGTTTAAGCGGGTTATCTAATTGACAAAAATTCGCCAAAACTTAATGGAAAAAAGAGGCCCGTTAGACCGAAGATGCCGGGGCGGACGCTGGGAGAATTGCCTTACCATAGCGGACAGCTAGCTATCGCATGGGAGATTGGGGAGGGGGAGGGGGGTAGAGTATATTGTGTCGACGCTGGTACTATATGCACGAGTGTTCTACCACACTCGTACTGTATATTTCCTCAACCCCCGTTTTCGAGCACCGTACTGTACTCGTACTGTACTTCTTGCCCGTGACGAGTGGGGTTGAGGTTAGGCGGACTGGCCTCATATGGACCACCAGTGCCTGCAAGCTTGAAAAGCCATTCAGGGCGTCTAATTCACGTCTCCGGTGGGGGCTGGAGGATTGGACGCTAGTGCAACTGCTCTAGCTTTCTAGCTTCCGCCTTCTTATGCTTCACTCACGAGGTAAATTGATCAACCTAATCCAGACTTTGCCATAAAAAAAAAAAGTTTTCCACCCTTTCTACCATGTGCGAGTGAATGCACCTATTCTATGAATGGGTGAGTTGGGGTAGAGGGGGCTAGTGGCTGCAGTCGGTTTGATGGGCTTTTCGGCGGTATCATCCTAATTCGTGTGGGGGCAAGCACAATACAAGAACATCATTTTGTCTACGGCAGGTGTGACGGAGATGAGAGGTTACAAGATAGTGAGATGGCGAAGGTAAGGTAGCGAGAAAGAAGTTTTTTCCGTCAATCCATCCATCCATTCGCTATCCAATACGCTGTCTCTAGGCGTAAAAGTTGACCTGCGATGATAATGATGAGCACTCACCGGGAAATGTCTAACAGTGTGATTCAAAGAACTTACGGTATCCTTCTTCTTGGCCTGCACCTCCGCAATCGCATCTACGTAATGCTCGTGCGAGACTTTGGTCCTCCCACTCCTGAGAGCGATCATACCTGCCTCAACACAGACAGCCTTCAATTGGGCGCCACCAAACTCGTCAGTACTGCGAGCAAGTTCTGTCCAATTGACACCCTCCTCAACCGTCATTTTCCTGCTGTGAATTTTAAGAATGCCGGCACGGGCCTCCTCGTTCGGGAGCGGGAACTCAATCTTACGATCGAGACGGCCGGATCTGAGAAGTGCGGGGTCGAGCACATCCACGCGGTTAGTAGCTGCGAGGACCTTGACGCGGTCATCGGACGAGAAGCCGTCTAGCTGATTGAGCAGCTCCAACATCGTCCGCTGGACTTCACGGTCGCCGGACTTTTCGCTGTCGAAGCGCTTGGTACCCACTGCATCCAGCTCGTCGATGAAGATTATTGTAGGGGCCTTCTCCTTAGCTAGGGCGAAGGCGTCCCGGACGAGCTTCGCGCCATCGCCAATAAACATCTGGACTAGTTGTGGGCCAGCGATTTTTAAAAAGGTGGCTTTGGATTGGGCGGCGCAGGCTCGGGCGAGGAGAGTTTTACCGGTTCCGGGGGGGCCGTACATTAGTGCTCCTGTTCCACCACTTTGGGTCAGTGTGAGGGGCGATCGAAGAGAGGGTGATGTACCTTTGGGTGGCTTGATTCCAATCTTCTTAAACCGCTCTGCTTCCTCCATCGGCATGACTACAGCTTCCACTAATTCTCCAATTTGCTTGTCTAACCCACCGATATCACCGTACGTTTCTGTGGGTTTCTCGTCAACTTCCATCGCTTTCACTCTCGAATCGTATTCTGCTGGTAGGGTGTCAAGAACTAGGTAGCTGTCCTTATTAACCCCAATCAGATCACCCGGGCTAAGCTTCTCGGGATCCACAAGGCCGATTAGGGGCAAAAAGATAGTCTGCCGTGTAGAGGTCTTGATAACAGCAGATTTGCCCGCCCGCGTTGCATCGAGGTCCACGTTGGCTCCATCCTCAGCTGCCTCCGCGGTTGGGTCCATATCCAAGAGCTCGACGACGTTGCCTACTAGGTATGGCAGTTGTCTGATAAATCATACAGAATAGACAATTAATAACGCTTAATAAATGCTTGAAGAGAACTAAAGTGGGGTGAAGCAAACCGGTTATTCTCAATCTTGTCCAAGTTATCCTTTATCTTCTCCTTGGTGCTACTCTTCTCATGCGTGAGCCTCGTGTACTCCTGTCTCATAACCCTGAGGTCATTCTCCAGAAGGCGTTTTCGATAAATAATGTCTGTGGTAGAACCGTTCAGGACCTCCGGGTCGATTTCGTCGTCATCCTTATCGCCATCGACCGACATCTTTGTATCACCGTCAGAGCCCCCTTTATCCTTTGCTGCCTTCTTGTCTTGGTCTCTCTCTCTCTCGAGGTCATCGAGGTCTTCTAAGGATGCCATGGCTGTTTATCAGAAGGCTGGTTATGTGGTGGGGTGATAAGTTGTAGTAAGACTGGTTTATCTGTCTAGGGGGATGCAGAAGTTGATGGGATTGGTATCGAGATGGAGATGAATGACGGTATGATGGGGAGGACTTTTATTTAGTGGTTTGGGAGATGGGGTGTTGAGCTGTGAGGGATACGGTCGTAGACCAGGTAGGTTGGGATATGGGGATAAATCTGGCGCTGGGGTTGAGGTATCATACCAACTGTAGTTCTGGTAGCCCTCACGCGTAGATCCTATCACTGCGTGGCTCTGGTCACCGCCTCAAACTACCGGTATCATACTCGAGTACGTAGGAAAAATTATTTCAATCCTGGAACCTATCGTACAGAGTCTGATATTTTTCGCAACTCTATCTCTTCCACAGCCACCTCGCAAACACATAATGGTGAGATACACGGTAACAGTATTGAAGATAGCGGAAATTGGGGAACTAATTGAATATTACAGGCTCGCCGTCGCACAAAGAAAAGGACCCATATCCCACCAGCAGACCCCACCAAGAGTGCGACAGTTGGAGTTCAACCTCTCAATGCTTCTGCTTCACGTACACCCAAGACGATGGTAATAAGGGTGGGTGCAAGTGAGGTCGGCCCGAGTATCAGCGAACTTGTCCGGGACGTGCGGACAATGATGGAACCGTATACCGCCTCACGGCTACGGGAGCGCAAGTCCAACAGATTGAAGGATTACACCACGATGGCCGGCCCCCTTGGCGTTACTCAGCTCCTCCTCTTCTCCCGTAACGTTGGATCGGGGTCTGCTACTCTTCGAATTGCGCGCTGTCCGCGGGGACCTACAATTCATTTCCGTGTTAAGAACTACTCGCTGTGTAGAGATGTTAGGAAGAGCTTGAGGAATCCGAAGACTCCGGGGAAGGAGTTCGCTTCTCCACCTTTGGTTTGTTCCTTCCGCTTCACTTACCGTAGCCGTATACTAATTTGGGACAGCTGGTAATGAACAACTTCTCTACACCTCAACCACCAAACGCAGACGGAACCCCCGGACGCCCACCCCCACACGAGGCGCTGCTAACAAGCATGTTCCAATCGCTTTTCCCGCCCATCTCGGCTCAGCGAACGCCTCTCTCCTCCATCCGCCGTGTCCTCCTTCTCGACCGTCAGCCGATACCATCAGATTCTGGTGAAGCCTCATCAGAATATATCATAGAAGCCCGACATTACTTAATCTCCACTAAGGCTGTCGGATTATCAAAGCCAATCTGCCGTCTCGGCGCTGCACAGAGAGCCGTTCGCCAACCCAAGTCCTCCCGGAGGAGTACTCTACCGAATATGGGTAAACTGGAAGACATTGCGGACTACATGCTTGACCCTGCCGCCGCTGGAGGATATACATCGGAAAGTGAAGTTGAAGAGGACGCGGAGGTTGAGGTTCTGCCATCCACGTCTAATAAACAGGCTCCTAGGAAGAAACGCACTCCCAGGGGGCCGGAAAAGCGCGCGATAAAGTTATCAGAGATTGGGCCCAGGATGAAGCTGGAGATGTTTAAGATCGAGGAGGGACTAGCGGAAGGCAAGGTTCTTTGGCATGCATGGGAGAAGAAGACCAAAGCGGAGGAGCGGGAGCTGGAGGTTAGGCACAAGCAGAGGAAAGAGGAGAGAGATGGGAGACGGGAGGCGCAGAGGGAAAACGTCAAAAGGAAGAAGGCCGAGAAAGCTGCAGCAAAGGGAAGGGGGGGTGGGGGCGGGAAAGGCCAGGAGGAGGATGATGACGAGGAAATGTGGGATGATGAATATGATGATGAGGAAGAAGGTGAAGATGAGGAAATGGAGGACAAATAAGTGTTTTGTACAATAGTCTATGCTCTTCCGGGGGGGGTTGTGTGATTATAATATCCGCAGTCACCATGTGGGGTCTTCCGTTTCTGGGGCGAAGCTTCCCGCTAGCGTTCCCCTACCCTTATTCTTGCCTGCTAATACATTAGCTTGGAAAATGGGAATTACAAGCCCTGTGCGTTTGATCGCCAATGGCGCTGCTACAACCTGTAGGAGTGAACATAGGTGATTTTATACGAGTGACTACCTGTGACCGGCCACACTAGATATACTAGTATAGACCATGGCCAGTTTAAGGCTGGCTATGATATCAGAAACTCGGATATCCTCGAGTATATCTGGATATCTTTTCACGTGGCAGTGATAGTGCCTGCTTCTAATATCTCATACGAGGAACTCGAGTATCTTGGTATTTACCTCGGCGTCCACTTTTTCTTTGTGATATATCACCCTTTCTCAAATAGGAGTAATTAGCCGCTTAATCATCCGAGCCAGGAACCAGTCGTATGGCACACCACCGAATGTTGAGTGCCATCCCCCAGCCCATTTAGTCTCCACCCTCGCAGCGCATAAAGCTTTACCATCCCGGCGAAACTATGGTTCTGGCGACGCAGGTATTTAACCCCGGCAACAGTGATGGGGATAACATGGACTGTGGCAATACCATCGCTGCCGGTGTCGCCGGCAACACTGGCGGCGGAGCCTGCATTGTCGGCTGTACGACCCCCACGCAGCAGTCCGGCGTGGCAGAGGGTGAAATTCTGAAATGGATATCTCCACCGGAACTCCTGGACAGGCACCAAGATGTGCAGCAGTGTCGGTTCGAAGGTGTGGGAACTTGGCTTCTCCAAACAAGGGAGTTTAATGAATGGGCATATGGATCTGCTGATCCCACACTCTTCTGCTATGGTGACCCTGGAGTTGGGAAGACTTGCATCAGGTACGATAGAAGAAGTTTTGATCATTCACATGCATTGCTAACCGGCAGAAACTTTAGCTCTCTAGTTATTGACACCTTGTGTCCCCGTGTCGGACAAAACTTCCGCGTGTTATACCTGTATTGCCACTATCCTACGTATAAAAAGCTATCCGCCGCAGATCTGATTGCCGGGCTTCTTAAGAAGGCTATGACTGGGCTAGATGGGATCCCTGAAGAAGTGAGTCGAGAGTTCGAGAAGTCTAAACACTATGAAGGTGGTCGGAGGCGGCCGCTTCTCTTGGATGTTGTAAATATGTTATACGCAGTTCTTACATCCTTTGAGCGGGCGTTTATATGTATCGACGCATTAGACGAGTGTCCGTCGGGGCAAAGGATAGAACTTCTTAATTCCTTGGAGACGCTTATCCGACAACCATCAAAAACCCGACTCTTCCTCACTGGTCGGCCACTGATTCATCGTGAAATCGAGCAGTATCTCAGCAAAAGTGCGCAAATTGTATCCATCAAACCTAACGAGGGTGATATCAAGGAATACATCACCCAAAGGCTGGACCGGGACCCAAACCCAGATGAGATGAATTCTCAGTTGAGAACTGATATCATGCGAATTCTTCCTCATAAAGTGTCGGGAATGTATGTAGGGGTAGCGGTATTGTGCGTCATTCGCTGATAATGTCTAGATTTCTGCTGGCATTCTTAAAAATGAATGCAATATTGGAAGCGGTAAACGTACACGAAAGAAAGGCGAGACTCCTAGCGATGGAAGACAGCCCGGAGCTGCAGCGTGAGTATAGTAAAACACTGCATCGAATAGTCGAGCAGGGCTCCAACAAACCAAAGCTCGCTCTTACGGTTTTAATGTGGCTTGGTTATTCGAAGCGGCCATTGCATGCCGACGAACTGAGCCACGCCTTAGCGATTAAAAAAGGGTCAAGAAGCACCAACCCCGAGAACATTCCTTCAGCCCGAGCATTATCAGACTGCTGTTTAGGACTTGTTATTGTTGATAAGGAAGCATCGACCATCCGCTTGATACACTCCACATTAAAAGATTATCTCCGCAACCATCCTTGGCTTTTCTGGCGGACCGATTTGACGATTACAGAAACATGCCTTACGTACCTCAACTTCGAGGATATCAAATCTCTATCACCTTCCCTCTATGTTGCCCCAGAGGAAACCCCCTTTCTTCGGTATGCTTCTTGTTACTGGGGGGAGCACGCCCGAGAGGAAACCACGGACCACATGAGAACGCTTGCTAAAGAACTCTTGGGTCCGCATGCCGTTCCGGCCCTCTGCGATTCCCGAGTCGCGAGAATTGGCAAGTCTTGGAAATCTTACTGGCCAAGGTTTTCCCGTAGCACCCGTCTCCCGCACGGGCACTCGCAGTGCCAGGGTCTCGCGACGCTAAAACAGACTGGATACGATAAGCATATATCCGCTAAGCTACTTTTGCTCGAGAAATGTTGGCCCTGGGGGCGCGATACGAAAGATCTTCCCCATGGGTTTGATGGACTACATTGCGCAGCGTTCTTTGGCCTCCAGGAAATGGCAACAGCCTTCTTGGATACGGGAGTCCCTAACTCGAATCGAAAAGACATAACCGGAAGCACCCCACTGACATGGGCCGCGAGAAATGGTCATGAGGAATTAGTACAGCTGCTGTTGAAACAAAAAGATATTTTTGATCCTGAAGCGGGGGATCATGATGGGTGCACGCCATTCTTGTGGGCGGCTAGGAATGGACACGAAAGGGTAGTAGAATTGTTTCTGCAGGATGGTGCTATCAACCTCGAAACCAAGGACTCCCTTGGCCGAACGCCGCTCTCATGGGCTTCTGGAAATGGTCGTCAGGAAGTAGTGGAGTTATTACTGGGCCGGCGTGAAATCAACCCCGAAACAAAAGACTATCATGGCCGAACGCCACTCTCGTGGGCCTCCGAAGGCGGACATAAAAATGTAGTACAGTTATTGTTGAGAACAGGGAAGGCATGCCCCAACTCTGCAGATAACGATGGCCGCACACCCGCTTCCTGGGCTGCGGAGGCAGGGTATGAGGGGGTTGTCAGCTTTTTTTTACACCAGCCAAATGTCGGCCTAAATTCGTCGGACCGTAATGGACGATCGCTTCTCTCGAGGGCTGCCGAAGGTGGGCGCTGGTCGGTAGCAAAGCTATTACTTGACCAGGCTGGAATTATTTCAGACATGCGGGATAATGGTGGTATGACACCCCTCTCATGGGCTGCCAGTATGGGGAATGAGGAAGTAGTGAAGCTATTCATGGAGAAAGGAGAGGCCCGGAACGGCTCTCCAGACAAAGATTTCTCAACTTCACTCTGGTGGGCCGCTGGAAGCGGTCATGCAGGAACAGTGGGACTTCTTTTAGGATTGGGAGGTCTCAACCCAAATCTCATTGGGGAGTACGGGCAGACACCATTGGCGCGTGCTGCCATGCATGGGCATGAGCAAGTCGTGAAACTGTTGCTGAAGTCTGAACGTGTCGACCGGAACTTATCTGACAGTTTTGATAGAACCCCGCTCTCCTGGGCCGCTGGCAGTTGGCACGATGGGGTAGTAGGGCTGCTGCTGAAGAGCGGAGGTATTGATACCGAGTTGGCAGACACAGATGACCTGACACCACTTTCATGGGCTGCCAGGAATGGGGACGAAGGCATAGTAAAACTGCTGTTGGAGGAGGGAAATGCGTATCCTGACCCAAGAGACACTGAAGGTCGTACTCCGGTCTCATGGGCTGCTGGTGGGGGGCATGAAAAGATAGTGGATATTTTGTTGGGCCAGCCGGGTGTAAATCCCAACTCGGCAGACCGCACCGGACGAACACCGCTGTCATGGGCTGCTGGAAACGGACGGGAAGAAGCGACAAAGTTGCTGCTGAGCTATAGCAACATTGAACCGGATGTGGCGGACGGTGCTGGACAAACGCCGCTCTCATGGGCTGCTCGGAATGGTTGCAATGAAGTAGTGCAGCTTCTTACTGACCATCTGGATGTCAACCCCGATTCAACGGACGGTGATAATCGCACCCCACTCTCCCGAGCAGCGGAAGAAGGACATGAGAAAATAATAAGTCTCCTACTTGGGAGTAACAAGGTTAACCCTGACTCGGCGGATTGCGATCACCAAACCCCACTCTCTTGGGCTGCTAGAAATGGACACGAAGGGATAGTGCGGCTACTACTCCAGCGGGAAAGCATCAATCCGTACCCGGTAGACAAGCATGGCCGGACACCTCTCTCCTGGGCCCATGAGAATCAACATCAGCGCGTAGTGCGAGTATTCCAGCATCATAAGCCAGTTTCAGTAGCCCCAACTCCTCCAGACCCGGCTCTAGGGCCTCTGCGCTTGACATTCAATGCGCGAGGTCCGACCCGTGCCTTCGGCTGTATACCATTAGTTTTTTTAGCTTGCATAATCTGGTGCATATACCTGCTTTTTTTTCTCATTTGACCTCTGCCGTAACATTCGCCCTTTACTCTGATATGCGTATCGATAAGGCGGAGCAACGGCCTCCCCCACGAGCACCCAGGGTATTTTGTTTCATTCTTCGTCTTAATCATGGTTTTAGTGTGAGGGGAGGGGGTTCGGAGTTTTAATTCGACAATTTGTCTTTGAGTGGTTTTCTTCATATTTCTTTACAATGCCTTGTCTGAACAGAGAAAGATTTGCTGGGATTAGCCAAGCTCTTAGCTGAGCAACCCGTACGCATAAGTGATGGAACTATATTCGTGACAAGGCCCATTATTTGAGGGAGCGATCCGGAGCCCAGTTACATTTATTCGAGCTATACTGGCGTTCCATTTCGGCGATCCCAGGGCACCCGGTGTGACCAGGCAAGACTGTGACTCCAATTACCGGCGCTATAATACCACACACTTATTCCTTACTTCCTGTATCCGGGCACGACACATAATAAGATTTAGTGAATACAAGGAGGCGTCTAGTATAGAGAAGTGTGGTAAGCCGGGGGAAGGGGAGACAAGGTGTATGGGCACGACCGGTATAAATGACCTATCTGAATTTCTACGTGGGATAATTGGGTCACTTAGATGCACAAAATTCTCATAGATTTCATATTTTGTGACTACTTCCGACAAGCGGGAGCCTATGACGGGTGTCCGAACAATACTGTGCGTTGCTGTATTGTGAACAGACACTTCACCCTAAACTATGGCTGCAAGATGCATACTGGAACGCGGTATCTTGAACTATAAAATTTGGTGTTGGTCAATGGTGTCTTTTGTCATAACTTTTAGGAGCTCGAGTTGCGGAAGGTTATAACTAACCGGGTTTCCCCACTGCGAGCGGATCTCAGATCGCCGATCTGCAGCAATTAGTGGATAGTTGGACAGTGACTCAAAGAAGAGGGGTTGGTAGCATATAAGGAGGACTGTGTGCACGATAGATCCTGGATATTCTTATCCGCAATCCCTAACGTTAATTGCGATTTAAAAAACTTAAATTGGGTTTCATATTCCTCCTCTGTAGGCAATCTAGAACACCCCACCCAGATCTCCCTTGAGATCTAATGTGTTTTATTATTATTTTATTCTAGGCGGCTACCAGCGCCTAGTGCTACATCGCACTATACCGTATCGCGCGCCCCGTGTATTTGCCTTCGTGCTAGGAGTATTACCTTGACATGAAGTGCAAGCCATCCTCTACTCTGCTTTGAGCACCGACCCACGTGCACGGCCTTAGACAGTCCAAGCTCCAGCTTGTACGAGTGACCACATGTGATCGGCCGCGTTAAATCTGCTGAAAGCTACCGGTATGGCTAACTTATGGCTGGCACCAGCAGCCCGTATACAGTACTGGCCTGGGCTTTTCCTCTTCTCCCCTGGTACGGATGGTGTTTCCTTTGTCTACCTGTATTTCTTTTGCTTTCCCCCTCCCCCTTCCCCCTTTTCTTTTCTTTTTGTGACGAATCACCACTTCCAAATAAGTAGAGTGATTGGTCGCTTATTAATCCTAGCCAAGCGCTAGTGAACAACACTACCAAACATGTGGGCCGCTACCCTTCCTCAGCCTACTTGATCTCCCCAATCTTCACAGCATCAAACTCTCTATCCTAGCGAAACCATGGGCCCGGTCACGCAAGTATCCAATTCCGATACCACTTACAGGAATAATAACAGGGACTGTGGTAATACCATCACCAACAACACCAGCAATAACACCCAGATTACCAACAACACAATTCTCGCACGACAACTCGACGAGGCAGAGAGCGAACTTCTGAAATGGATATCTCCATTGGACCTTCCAGATGGGCACCGTGATGCGCAGCAACGTGAGTTTGAAGGTCTAGGAAATCGGCTTCTACAAACAAGCGAGTTTACAGCTTGGGCAGATGGATCTGCCAACCCCACATTCTTCTGTTATGGCGACCCTGGGGCCGGGAAGACTTGTATTAGGTATGACAGAAGATGTTTCTATCGATCGTATACGTTGCTAACTTACAGAAACTCTAGCTCTCAAGTTATTGACGCCTTGTATTCCCAGGCTAGAGAACGAAACTTCTCTGTGATATACCTGTACTGCGACTATACCACATATAAAAAGCTATCCACCACAGAGCTGACCGCCGAGCTTCTCAAGAAGGCTGTGGCTGGACTGCTGGTTGATAGGATCCCCGAAGAAGTGGTTCCAGAGTTTAAGAAGTTCAAAAACCATGCTCAGAGGCGCCTTTCCCCCAAGGAGGTTTTGGATAAGTTATGCGCGGTCCTTACATCCTTTGAGCGAGCATTCATCTGCATCGACGCGTTAGACGAGTTTCCAGACAGGTTAGGTCTTCTCCGTTCCTTGGCAGAGCTTATCGGAAAGTCACCAAATGCCCGACTCTTCCTCACCGGCCGGCCACATATTACGCATGGGATAGGGCTCCATCTCGGCGGTGCGCAAATTATATCTATCGAACTTAGCGAGGGTGATATCAAGGAATACGTCACCCAAAGGCTAAA